TTCAGAAAAAGCGACCAGAAACGATACAAAAGCGTCATTCTATAAAAAACATAGGAAATGAAATGACATAAGGGTTATAAAGTGTTGTAGTGATTAGTTGAATACTCAGATGTAATTTATATACTAAAACACCTGAAAAATTCGGGCTGAGCCGGGGATCGATCCCGGGACCTCTCGCACCCTAAGCGAGAATCATACCACTAGACCACTCAGCCGCATGTCAATGATGTTGAAAATGAAGTATCATCATCACTTTATACCATATCGCTGAACATATGCGAACTAGGTGAATAGTGGTGACGTATTGCCACATAGAACTGGTTCACAGCTCGCATACGGCGTTAGCTAGCCTTTCATTAACGTTGGAGAAATTCATATCAGAGTCATCAAAAATACGTCCAATTCCAACATTACGCACTACGTCGATGATGAAAGATTGAAGACTCAGCTGTACATGTAAAGCTATCGAGGATTAGCAGAGTAGAAAGGAGGTGCGTATATAAACCTTTGGACATCAGAATTAACAGAATGAAGTTGACGAACGCCATGTATAGTGCTAGCATTGGCTGCAGTCGCGATAAAAATTGAAGTATTCACCTGAGTGAACCATCTTCTTCTTTATCTTTCTCTCTCTTTCTTCGTTATTCCAGTAGCAGTAGGAAGCTTCTTTTTGGGAAGTCCGATGTTACAATGTGATACTTGCGATTTCATATTGTAAATAATTCATATTACATGGTGAAAATTAAGTATTGTTGTACTGTTGTTCTCAAAGATTTGAACAATTCACAATGATCTTGTATTAAACTGCATCACCTCAGTTCAACGTACATCTTATTTTGCTTGCATTCGATAGAGAAACGTAGAAGTTTCATTCCAATGTCGAACAATCGGTGATCATCACTTAGCAATTCGCAAAGTCAGTTTATTTGTGTTCGTTTCATGCACTTCGAGACGACTAGATATTTTATGCGGCGGCGGAGGTAAAATGCCGTCTGTATAGGTAAAACACCGATCCCTATGATCTATAGGATGTCGTCAATTGAAAATTTGCATAAGAAACCACTGTTGGTAGGAGGAGAGAGGCGACAATTATTAGAAAAAAGAAGTACTGAAACAAATCATTTGACCTATCTTTAATAATCTGTCTTATTTTCCTGTCTATCTAACACATTACCAAACATTGCACTTGTTGTTTTGAAACAGCATGCAAGTATAGCAGCAAAACTGCTGGAATGCCAACGGGTGCTGTGGTGGGCGGCTGTGAGCCAGTGTATAGGCGGCAGATTGGTGTGGATGGAGTGAGGGGAGGAGTCCCGCTGTGGCCGTGGAGTGTGGCGACCGGACGTCCGTGTCAAGCGTTGTGTCGCCAGGGTTGTGCCGTCGGAGGACGGCACCACCCCGGCTGGTTAAGGAGTGGTGTACGGCTCAGGATCGAAAGGGAGCTGGCAAAAATCCACCACCCCAGACAGTGGCCGGAGAGCGCCCGTGAGCACCTGCTGTGTCGTGGGCTCTCCGATACCTCCAGACCTCCAGTCGTTTTGACATTTAAAATGATTTTTGGAAAAAACAAACATTCCATATTGATAAATGAAGAAAATTTTAAGAAAGCAACTTTATTGTCTTGTATTATTAATTTCATATAAGATGTGAAATTTTTTTCATAAGAAAGTGAACAATTACTGCATAAAAATTATGTCGTAGAAAAAAATATGATTCGGATTAAAGAGATGAGGTAAACACTGAAATATCTTGGTGTTAGCATCATAACTTTTGAGGAATTTCGTGAAATGTCCAATAATTTGCACTTATTAAAGTTTTCACAAGAAATATTTAATAATGTTTTGTCGTAAAGACTAATAGGAAATATCCCAAGTGCAAAAGCGACTGGAGGTCTGGAGGTATCGGAGAGGCCACGACAGAGCGAGTGCTCACGAGCGCTATGCGGCCACTGTGTCGCGCGGTGGTTTTTGCCTGCTCCCTTTCGGTCCTGAGCCGTACACCACTCCTTGACCGCCCGGGACATGCTATCCTGCGACGGCACAACCCTGGCGACGCAACGCTTGACACGGACGATCGGTCGCCGCACTCCACGGCCACAGCGGCACCCGGTGGTCACCCTACAATTCCACATCTATGCTATTGAGAAGATTAGGAGGAATAACATGCGATTGGAGGAGATAACTACGAAATATAGAAGCATATAAAATATTCTTTTGTAATAAAGTAAAGAGAGGTGAAATGGAAAAGTGGGAAATGGGAAGGAGATGGAAGATTCACGAATGTTTAATTATGAAGTTGTATCTGTTGCTTCTATGACGTTATAATTGAAGTCTTCATTAAATTTCTTTCTGGAATCGAGGAAACGTAGAGGAGGCTTGTTATGAGTAGCACGAGTGTTCTCAGGAAATAATCAACAGGGCGCTATGAAGTGATTCCGAATTTGATTAGAAAAGATTCAACGACGAGACAATTTGATTTCTGCAAAGCAGTCGATGGGCTGATCAATATATTGACCGCACTAAAGACTCTACAAATTGTTCAGTGAAAGCAACGATATCTTCTCGAGTTAATTGTCTGACGGAATATTAACCCAATTTCTGGTGTAAAAAGCAAAGTATATTTTGTGCTCAACACCCATGTTTCCTTGAAGTGTAGAATGAATAAGCTCGGTCATATTAAAAAAATACTCGATAACAGATGAGCCAGAAAAGCTTTGGGATTAGAATTTTGATGAATAGAATGGAGTCATGCAACAGGTCGATGACCTACCTCATAGATGACCTCTTTGGTGACTAATGGTAAAAACCTGTATTATTGTTCCATACCGATGCATTTCTTCTTCGTTATAAATGTTCTTAAGTGAAATACGAGTGAAAAATTGTTGGAGGTATGCAAGAAATCTGCTTGGATTTTTTGAGCACAGCTTTTGATAAGTGGTAGCAGCGTTAAAGGTTTCATCTCGTACACAACAGTTTCCTTCATGATATTATGAGATTTATTGAAAACAAGGTGAAGTCTTATCAATTTTATAATACTCCTGTCTTGATTCGTTGAAGTAAACGAGGGATTGGCTTTGCCTCAAGTCGAATACTAAATTGTCGTTCAAAAGCAATAACATTTTTCAGAAGAATGCAATTCCTATTTTCCACTAAGACGTAGTTATTTTTTGACAAAAGCTGGAGATGAACGTGTTGGAGCGGTGTCGTTGTCGTTAACAGCGTTAAAATAGGAGGTCTTTGACATGTAGTAAGATGAATGTAGTTCGAGTTCATTTATGGCCAAATTAACCTTTGGATGTATCAGAGATCGGTGAATTTGCATACGAGAAATTTGTCAAAGTAAACAGCAATGAGTTAGTAGCATATTGCTTACGACATGTCAGATTTATAAGCTACTCGAATGCTTATGTGAAATCGATGAGGACAGTGACCATGGTACTTCTTCACATAGTGTGGTAGAATTCATCAATGCTTACTAAGCCATCATTTATCATTATTGATAATAGTGGAAAAAACTTGGCGTTTTCCCAAACGCTGTTTATGACGAAGATTATTTTGAAAAATATTTATTATTACGTCTATATTTATATGTGAATCTTTTGATCAACGTCAAAAATGAGAACATCTTGGTTTTGACAAATTCAATTACATAATTTACATGGCCTGCCACAGTACTCGATCTTCTGAGTATCACTGTAGAAAGAACTGTCACAAAAGCCGTTTCTAATCCAGTCATCACAGCTAAAATTATTCTACCTCAATCATCCAAAAATAAGATTCTAACGAATGATATAAAGAATATTGAATGAAAGCAACAACCTTGAATGCGATCCACATCTGACTGAACCTGGAAAATCGAAAATAAGAAAGCAGCATTTGTTCGGATTATTTATGTACTCTTTATGATGAGGTATTTTATTTTCTTTCAACGTCATTGGTACGAATGCTATAACATTTATATGCCTCGATGCAGAGGTAGCACAAATTGTGGAAGTTGACCCTCATCCCTCGGATTTGTGATAATTTGTTGATCAGTAGTGACCACATACACAATTAGAATGATAACGACCGGATGTAAGCTTCATATGAAAAAGATTTTCTTCCAAATATCGATTCTTCTCTATTGACGTCTACGTTTATAATGGAATAACAGTTGTATTGTGGAACAAGTTAA